AGAACTATCCCAATCTATTCCATAAAGGCTCTGAAAACAATCATCAAATCTATGATGATTAATTAAAAAATTACAATATAAATTACTAGCACTAAAGTCTTCTAATACCTACTGAATGATCTAAAATAAATTTTATTGATTTATTTTGTAAAGGAATTTTTCTAAGACAATAACTGATATAAATTATAGTATAAAATCTGCATAATTGTATAATGGTGGTTTTTCCAATAGTTTAAAAATTAATTTAATTCCTGTTAAGTAATCCTTATCTTCTTTCAATAAGCAATTGATTAATATTTTGATGCTTTTATATGAATAAAATGTATTTCTCCATAAAATAGGAATATTGATACTGTGCCATTGTTTGTTGACAAGTGTACATGGATATATTGTTTTATAAACATTTTCAATATATTTAGATATTTCAGTCATAAGTTCCGGGGACAAACTTATTTTTTGGTGAGATGAAGTTCTAAATGAAAAAAATTTATTTATTTATTTCCAACTAATTTATCTTGAATATTAAAACTAGAATGATGACGAGTGGCGATAACCACCGCCACCATTCTTATGATAAACGCTTATCCAGAAACTGCCACCCGTTGATTTTCTTTATTTCTATTTCTTTTTTATAAAAAAAAACTCCCAACACGTAAAAAAAAAATGTATATAAAATAATTATTATTGTTGTACAAAGATGTCACGAATTCATTCTTTTTTTTTGGAAAAATTAATTGGAATCAAAACGCGGAACAGATCCTGTTGGTAATTATAAGATCCTTGTCAAGATGATAACGATATTTTGCTCTGCGTAATCGTTAATAATATTATCAGTAAATATCAGAATCTGATATTTCTTAAAAAAATAATTAAGGTATTGGCATGCTGATAAGGTAATAATATTCTTAGTATTTTTATCATATAGCCTAAAAGCCTATTAGTTAATGTTGAAAGTGCCAATATTTATCAAATATTCTTCTTAAATTATTGGCTTAATTTAATAAACCAATAGCTCTTTTGTATTGTAATTAAGTTATTGGTTAAATATTTCTAAAGCTCTTTGTACTAAAATAACATCGTAATCTTAGTAGTAGTTAGGGTTTCTATTCGAATAAGGTTTATTTGAATAAAACAAATAATTTGAATAAAACGAATAAAATGAATAAAACGCATAAAACGAATAATTTGAACAAAACAAACAAAACGAACAAACGAACAAAACAAATAAAATAACAAACAAATAGCTTTTATTGCGAAATAATTAATTTTGTCCCTTTGATGTTAATGATTGAATCGATCACACAAGTAGCATATAGTCAATTTAAACAGCATTATTTTTAAAGAATTTATTCAAAATAATATCATTAAACGTATAAAGTTTAATTCGTGATACGTGATACAATAGATGATCGGCATATTTTTTAATAATAAAAAACGGGGTTAATAAAAAGTCTCATTTTCTGAATCCAGACATATCCATATAATTCTTTCATATCTCAAATTTTATTTTTTTTATATCAGACATACTTTTATATCAAAAAAAATTTTTTTGTACATATTGTATAAATATAAAATTTTTATTTAAATGTCTAAACATAAAGAAGTTTCACCAACACTTGCATCTCAAGGAATAATTGACTTTAATTTATACTATGGACCTTTTGCTCATCACTGGTGGCATGAAATTTCTACTGAAAATGGCTCGGAATTTTACCCTATTTGTTTAGGCATGACAATTTTAACTGAACTAAATAATATAAATTTTTTGCTTTGTATTATTATGATAAGATCCAAAGGTTTACACCGGAGGATATGCATAAAGAACTTATTGAAGAATCTGTTCATAATACCCAACTTTCTCATGATGAAATTCCTAGGTAGAAACTATACGTAATTGGGTTTCTAGATACTCAGCAGAAATGAAAAGAGATGTAGCTGATAAAATGTTAGCAAATTACAATAAATGAATTTCAAGTAATTTATCATACAATTATTTTAATATTAACAACTTGCTTTTGGTGTGATCTAATTTCCTGCCCACTACAAGAAAACAATTATATTATTATTGATACAATCTTTAATAGAATTATAAATAAAGAAAATTATTTTAATTCTCCTGTAAATTATTCCCAAGACTTAATGATGACAGAAGAAATATTCAGGACCGAAAGCCGGATTATACCAAATAATTTTTAACACATCTAAAATTTTCATTGCGACTTCTGTTAGCTTTCCATCACTCTCTTTCCAATTTCCATTATGTGTTAAACCCAGTTGTAATCTATATATACTTCAAGTTCTGAAGTCTAATACAAACTTGTAACATTTTTCTTGTATACTTGAAGGGAATGTTGAAGGTACCATATTTTTGACCAGTTTCTAGCATTAAAACAAATTAAAATTAGTTGATTATAACACCTACTCAGGGTCTAGTCTTAAGGTTAGTTCTGACTTTTATATATACCTTAAATTTCTTTTGCTGTTTTTTTGATAAACGTTCCACTATACTTGATTCATCACTTAATAACTTGGCTAGCTAAAGGTTCTTCCCAGGTTAAATCAGATTCAGGTATTTAGTTTAGAAAAGTAACCAATTGTTGGTAAAGTGCTGATGTACCATTCTGAGGAAGCAAACATAATAGTTTAAATTTCCTATTAGCCCACTAAAGGGATTATCCTGGATGGCATGGAGGATATTTATGCTATAGATAAATGTTTTGTTTCTATGTGGTTAATATAGTACCACACAAAGTCTCATTTGTGTAGCCAGGCTGTACCAGGTGATGGTTTTGTATTATTCTGATGACCATATGGTTATATATATTATTTTCTTTTTGGTTCATCAGCTATTTCTAACTTATTATACATCTATGTTAGTTTGATGTTGCTTTTGATAGTGTTTGCAATTTGCAAGAAATTGGTGTTTTAAAAATGGTATGTTGAGATGAGAGTAAATAAATGGCAAGCTTATCCCTATGCCATGATCACCCTATTCTGGAGAAAAAGTTGTCGCTGAGATTGTTGCACAACTTCGTAATTGGAATATCTGGACATGGCAAAATGGGGGTGTTACCTTGTCACAGGGAGGATTCAATTTTGATGTTTTGAGGTGGTAAAACAATCAGAGCGCCAGATATTTCTTATACATCTAAAGAAATAGATTGTCAATTGGATGCACAACAGAATTGGAGTTTTAAAGGTGATCCTTTCACCCCTACATTATTATTGAAGTTAGAAACATTTCAAGTCATTCAAAGTTTGAGGAACTTGATAGAAAATTCAAGGATGTATACTTTGCAGAGGGGACTTCTGTACAATTAGGGTGGTTAATAGACCCAGAAAATAAAGAGATTCACATATATAGAAGGGATCGATGCCATATTAAACATGGATGGAAAGATGTTGATAATGTGGATTTTTTTACCAAGGTTTACTTTAGAAATATGGCAAATCAAACATGTAATTTCACAGGTACGTTTTTATTATTTTTTACTTTTTGACATGTACAATCAATTTTATCCTTTGTATTTATTGGTTTAATTACAGCAAGAATCAGTATCACCTGAACCCATATCATTCTATTGCTCCTCATGCTCAAAAACCTTTGCTGATTCATACGTGTGATTAAACATATGGAGAGTAACCATGCATACAATGAAGACATTGATTAGCATTTGGGTTAGATCTATTACTCCGAGCAGGGTTGGTCCATTGTCATTAATAAAATACTAAATATGGTTAAAGGTTTACACTAATGGATTCAATAGACCACACATTTGCCAACCCTGCTTTCAGGAGAAATGTACATTTACGGATGCTTTTTCCAGCATACAATGGACGAGTTCACAACTCAAACTAACAATATCAAAATAAATATTAGTATTAATACTAATAATTCTACAAATATAACTAAATCATTATCATCACTACTACCATCATTGTCATTATCTGATGAGTAATAAATTCAATAAATAAAGAATCTATTATTTTTTGCTTGTGGCAGCCATTTTGCAGGTTATATTGGTTTGTAAAACATGAATATTTCCTCCAGTGCATTTGTGGTATTTGTAATTATACAAAAATATATATGGCATGCATATTCCTGAATACATATCAATAATTTTTACGATCATACCGTTTTGTCATGGTTTTTTTATGCATGATATTTAAACTTGTAATTATAATTATAATAGTGGGTATCTGGCTCAGGGAAAAAAGCCTGATCATGAAATCTCACTCATTTGCATTTATGAAATGTCATAATTCTGATTGAGACATTTTGTTGCGGTATTCATATAAACAAACTTTTGAACATATAAAACAATGGGAAACACCAAATCTGAACTAGATTTATTGAAACAGGAGAATGCCAGACTTGTGGCTAGAATCAAAGAATTGGAACAGATTGCAAAAGAAAAAGATGAGCTTGAGGTTAGAATTCCAGAACATGTTATGGGAGAGAGTGCCAGACACAAAGCTGAAAATGTTGAGCTTAAAGCTGAAGTAGTTAAATTAAGGCACAATTTTGAGGAGCTCAAACAGCAAACTCAAGTTATTACTATGTGCAAGACACGTCTTCTATTGGCGGAGCCAGCACAACTGAAAATATCTCACCTAATTCATCACCTAACGAAGATCTCTCTAATGAGAGGAGTTTGCATAACAAACAATTTTCAACTGATGATATTGATTCTGAGCCTTTAGAGAAAACACAGAACACCATTTCTTCTGAAATAAATCCTGACAATACTCCTGAACAGATGGAAAATACATTTGATAACGCATCTAATTCTAATGGATGTCAGAAGTCAATAACACAATGTTCTGCATTACCTATCCACACAGAGACTAAATTGTTAGAAGATAAGGAAATCAATAATTTTCTGGGTCGAAAAGAAAAAGAAAAAGTTAGTAATATGATTATTGTTTTTGTAATGGTAATACTGTAATACTATATAGGCACTAATTGTACAATATTGATTTCCAATGAATTTGACATTATGAATGATCCTCTTGAAGAAGCAATTACAAATGTCAAATCAATTAATTCTGAAATTGAAACCACAAATAATAATAATTCTCTTGAAGAAACTGAGATCTTTTTGATAGAGTGGATTCTTTTGATATATTCCTATAATATATTTTAAAATTTTCTATTTTTTTTTTTTATAGTCAAATAATAATGTACATATACCTACAAACAAAGAAATTGAAGACACAATAAATTATGGTGAAGTTAAGAATACTACTCACAATACAAGATTCTGGTTGAAAGTTCTAACATCTGTTAGAACAAAAATGGGATACAATTATGACATTAGTGAAATTGTTGTTATAAATCAGTTACAAGAAGAATTGATTCAATTTTTTCAAGTGTTAAACAAAAAAGACAAATCACCATATGCATCAATATCAATAAAAAATTGCTTTGCTGCTATACATAGGTATTTACAGCAAAATTCAAAAATTTCTCCTTTATGATGAATGTATGTTTCCAAGACTTCACAAACATTTAGATGGCAAAATTAAAAAAATACAAGATTTAAGCATAATCAAACAGAAAAAATCTGACTCACTCAAATATGATGAAATTTACCAAATTTTAACACATCCTGAGTTAAACAAAGGCACACCATTATCCATCACTTATAAAACCTATTTTTGGTTATGTTTCTTGTGTGGTTTTTGTGGTGGAGATGCTCAAAGATTAAAATTGGCAAATGTGGAATTAGCAGCTATTAATGGACTGACAATTACAATTCCTTGTGGAAAAAACAATGCTGGCTATAGTTTGCTGAAAATCTCTATAAAAAACTGTAATAATGTTCAAATAAATCTTCAAAAGATTAAATTTTTAATGTTTATAATTGATTCATGATATGAAATCGTTGTAATTCTTGCTTTTGTTGTATTTAGAAAAAAAATTAGAGGTTGGAATCATCCAAAAAATCCTTAGTTGACTACTAGTTGATCAAAATTTCTTTTAGTTGACTATTTAGTTGATTAATTTAGTTGACTATTTAGTTGATTATTTTAGTTGATTATTTAGTTGATTATTTTTAGTTGACTATTTAGTTGACTATTTAGTCGACTAAATTTTTTTAATACTAGTGTGCAACCATTTGCTTCGCAAAATGGTCACACACTAGTCACAGGAATAACAGCCTATTAAATTAGAATATTCATTCTGTTTCATTATTATTAACGGTTTTTTTTAATTTACAGATTACAAATTCATCTCCATTTGAATCTTTAATTTTCTTGAAATACTTCCATACAAAGCTATATGTTATAATTTGTTTTTTTAAAGGTCTGGAACCACTGCTTGAGCTCGAAGCCAATGAATTGTTGGAATGATTTGACCTTGTATCAATGTTTATTATTTTGCATGGATAATTATCGCCAACACCAGCACCAACACCACCATTATCATCTTCTTCATAATATTGATACTCCGCATATT